GGGGGAAAAGGAATCTTAAAAAATAAAAATAAGCAAAGAAGGAGAGAAAGAAACATTGAATATAAATAACACATACAAATTCTTAGCAAGATGGTAGTTTTAACCCAAATAAATGAGTAAGTGTAACGGGGCTAAATCTCAAAGACTGTCAAAAGTGAACAACAAAAAAAGCTACACTAAGCCAGTAATAAACTTAGAAGAATTCAAAAGTAAAACAGAGAGACCATGAAAAGACTAACTGAAAGAAAGCTACTAGTGTTTTATTTTTATAAAAATAGACGGCAGATTACTAATGTATTTATTTTTGTATTAGACAGTGGGCTACTAGTATATATATTTTATACTAGACAGTAGACTTTAAGGCAAAACAGTGGTGAAAGATTCAGCTCTCTGGGAAGATATAGTAATTCAGTATTTATATGTATTTAGTAGCATAGTCTCAAAATACATAAAGCAAAAATTAACGGCACTAAAATAAGGGATACAGAAATTTATAATCATCGTGGGAGATTTCAACTTTTAGAACAGGAAGACAAGATCCATGGAAATACAGAAGATTTCAACCTCAGAATTAGCAGTCTGATAAATGTACAAGGTTTTTAGTGACTGATCCAATTTTATAAAATACTAGAAAATCGAATCCAGTGGTATATGAAAAGGGTATGATAAATGATTAAGTTGCATTGATTTCAGAGTGCAAACTTGTCTTAACTTAATTTGAATAAATAATGTGAATCAGAAGTAAGGAGAGGCACACAGTCATCTCAATTGATGGGAAATTCTATTTTTTTTAAATAAAACAGTGAATATTCTTAATGGTAGAATACTGAATTCCTTCTCTTTGAGAGGGGAAATGTAGTAAGAATGTCCACTACAACCCCTTCTGTAGGGAGGGGAGAGTTGTACAAAACAAATATCTGCCTATATGAACTGGTACCCATTTAATCTAGGTTTTCTTCTACTGCCTACTTCAATCTGAACCACTCTGTGAATGGAAATAAATGCATACTACGTGCCACTTAAGAGACACAGAGCTAGATTATTGCTTTGAATCTCAGTGGAGCTCCCTATTATTGTTAGACAAAGAGTGATATGTTTACTATTACAACTTTTTTATTAAAAATTTGAACAAAAGACAATTTTGACTATAAAATTATTGGTCTAAATGGTAATTCTTTCCAAGGAATACATTTGCTAAACCTTTTCTCATTTTGAAGTAGGAATTGTTGGATTTTGATGGCAGTATGATTTTGTGTTTTTAAACTATGTTTAGTAGCATTTAAATAGATACTGTTTTTACAAGTGATTAAGGTTGGAGGCCAAGCATGGTGGCTTACTCCTGTTCATCCCAGCTACTTAGGAGGTGGGGATAGGGAGAGTCAAGGTTCAAGGCCAGCCTGGGCAAAAAATTATCAAGACCCCCATTTCAGCCAGTCAGCTGGATGTGACAGCAAGAGCCTGTTCTCCCAGTACAGGGGAGGCATAAATAGGAGGGTCGGGGTCCAGGCTGGCCCAGGCACAAACATGAGACCTTATTTCAAAAATAACTAGCAAAAAGGACTGGGGGAATGGCTTAAGTGGCAGCATATCTGGCTAATAAGCATAAGGCCCTGAGTTCAAACCCCACTACTGCCCCCCCAAAAAAGTGATTAAGATTGGAAAAGAAGGAATAAAACTCTCGCTATTTGTTTATAAAGTGATTGTATACATAGAAATTTAAATTTACAGATAAACTATTTAGAATTGATAAGTGAGTTAGCTAGGTGGCAAGCACCAGTCAAAAAATGAGAAATTTTAAGCCAGATGCCAGAGGCTCACGCCAGTAATCCTAACTACTTGGGAGGTTGAGATTAGGAGGATCAAAATTTGAGGCCATCCTGGGAAAATAGTTCATGAGATCCCCATCTCCAAAATAACCAGAGCAAAATGGACCAGAGGTGTGGCTCAAGTGGTAGGGTGCCTGCTTTACAAGCTTGAAGTTCAAACCCTTGTGTTACCAAAAAAAAAAAAAAAAAAGAAACAAAAGAAAAAAATTATAAGTTTTGAAAAATTCTACTTACATTAGTATAAAAATATCAAATACCAGAGATAACGCTATCAAAAATATGTAAGACTTTTATACCCAGAGCTATAAAACATTGAAAGAACTTTAAAAGGAAATGCCCAGAAAGATAAGATCCAAAATTGTAAATACTTTACCTTTCCCCAAATGGATCTATAAATCCCTCAGGGTATGGGCAACCATTTGAACCCTTTCCAGTGAGCACCAGTAACTCCTTATATGGTATTTTGGGGAATGGAAAGCCAGGAAAAACCAAGGCAGTCTCTAGGGGAAGGATATTGTTTTACTGAATTTTGTGGCTATTTTGTATTGGAGTCATGGAAACCGCAGATGCTAGAAGCAGCTAGGAAAATCAAGGAGTGGGGTAGAAAAGGTCCCAGACATTGCCATCCACATCGCTGGATGGATGAGAAAGGTCTCACTGCCCAACAGTAGGAACAGGATGATCCTCTCGATAAAAAGGAGTTGAAACAATAGGCTTTCCATGAGGGGGAAATGCTCCTTGTCTCTACTGTCACACCATACACAAAACTCAGTAACAAGTGGGTTGAGAATCTGTATAAAAGTCAAAACAAATAGAGAAATAATAGAGAAAAGTATCTTATTTGTCTAGTGGAGGGCAGGCAGATATGCTGCAGTCCAACACAAAAGGCTGGAGAAGAGACTGGCTACAAATTGGTTAAATTCTACCACATTAAAGTGAAGAGCTGTAGTTCAAGACACCACTAGTTGAGCACCAGTCACAGAGGGAGAGGAGAGAACACATTTACAGTACATAGGACCAATAAACCATTCTTATCCAGCAAATATGAACAACTCTTGCAAATGGACCAATAAACCATTCTTATCCAGCAAATATGAACAACTCTTGCAAATGGAAAAGAACGACAACTTGGTAGAAAAATACACAAGAAACTTGGACAGCTGTGTCATAAAAGAAGATATCCAGGTGGCTAATACACATATGAAAAGGTGCTCCATTTAACTAGTTGTCAAGGAAATATAAGTCAGAACCACACCTGTTACGGTGGCTGAAACCAAACAAACAAAAAGCAACCAAAACCTAGAATGACAAGGATGTAGAGAAATGGGAACCTTTGTGTACAGCTGGTGAGATCGTAAATGAGTACAGCCATTATGGAGAACAGTGTGGCAGTTCCTCAAAAAGTTAAAAATGGAACTATCATATCGTCTGGCAATTCCACCTTTGAGTACACATTCAAAAGAATTGAAAACAGGGTGTGAAAGAACTATCTGCTCTCGGTATTCATTCCAGCATTATTCACAATAGCCAAGATTTGGGGAACAGCCTAAGTGTCTGTCCACAGTTGAGTGAGTAAAGAAAATGGGTGCATACACAGCAGAATATCGTTTAGCCACTAAAAAGGAAATTCTTGCCATTTACAACCATATGGACGAACCTGGAGGACATTATACTAAATAAAACGAGCCACTTACAGAATGATCCCACTTGCATGAGGTATCTAAATAGCCAGACTCAGAAGAAGTAGAATGGAGGTTGCCAAAGGTGAGTGGGGATGGGGAACAGGGAGTCGCTATTCAATGGGCATAAGGTTTCAGTTATACAAGCCGGTGTATGAAACACTGCGTGTACTGGCAGGCAAGAGGGTGATCTTATGTTAAATGTTGGTACCACAGCTAGAAGTAAAAGTAAAAGCAGTCCACAGTGAAACCCCATCACACACACCCAGGCCGACTTGTGGAGGGAAGGAAGCCCGGGAGCATTGCCCATCGAAGGGGATCTTGGCCCCTCACTTTGGAGGGAGCTTTTAGCAGCTTCTACTGAGGGCAAAGGTATTCTCCAATCAGCAGCTCCTCTTAGGGACTTGGCACTAGCACACTTTGCTTTACTGTTAGTTGAGGTCCCACACTGGCCACTACCCTGTGTGCACCAGCACAGAACAGGTTTGTGCATCTTGACAGAATGACACAGGGGCATCTCACATGCACGGTGTTCAGAGATCAGGTGGACCCCAAAGATAAATACAGTACCGTTCCACAGATCGAATATTCCAAACCCAGTAAAACAGAATATATAGCAAAGCCATAAAGCCAGACAGGAAGAAGTGCTTGTCACAATTACTTACCTTTTGTCAGGACAGGTGAGAGAGGACATGGTGTCTGGGGGAAAGGAGGGAGGTTTCAGGTTCTGGTACCCCCCCTTATCTCCTTTTTATGGTTTTCGTTTTTGTGCATTTTAATCCTTTTTTTTTTTTAAGTAAGGAAAGTTGGGCTCCAAGGCCACATGGGTTTGGGGAATGCTGCACTGTGTTCCTCTCAGATGTCACACTTCCCACAAGTGGCCCAGAAAGCTCCAGAAGAATGCTGTTGGGCTGTGTTTCCCAGCATACATCCCTGACCCCTTCCTCCAAGATCCTTTGCTGGGCCTGGCAGGGCATGGGCTTCCATGCTCTGACCAGTGACTGGGCGTCCGATGGATTGCAAGGTTTTGGGTTCCTGCTTTGCTCCTGGATGTGGAAATGTATACAGCTAAACACTTAAACACCGTAACCTTTAAAATCCATTGCACAGTTTCTGTTGGTTGACCAGCACAAGATGGACAGACAGATATATTTTATGAAGCTCACCTAGTGGGGGACGGTGTGTAGATAGAGGCAGATGATACAGAGCTGAAGGACAGCGTTGGGAGGGCGGTGCGGGTGCAGCCTAGGGGACACTACGGGAGCATAGAACAGGAAGTGAGAATCGGCCATGGAGAGGCTCATGGAAGATATTTTTGGAGGACAGCAGCTGTGCTGAGACCAAGTGTGTACAGGCAGGGACAGCACAAATAGGTCAGCGTACTTGGACCACAGCCAGGTTATGGTACAAGGAAGGCGTCTTTGTGCGTAGGGAAGGACCAGTTGAATAGGGCCAAAGTGAGTGGGTACAAAAACATTTTCCCCGTTTCTTCTAGACACAGCACCCTATACAGACCAAGTGACCTTGAAGGAAAAACCTGGCTTCCTAGCTGCTCAGCTGCTCCTGAGCCAGGCAGGCCCCAGTGACCCTCCTGGCGGGTCACCAGTCCCCATGGCACCATCCTCCCCTCCCGTGGCTACTGAGCCCCAAGACGTGGCAACACCAGCCACCAGCACTATTCCAGAGCCAGCACCAGGGACTGCTGTCCAGGCAGGGGGCTCAGGGACTCCTCAGGGGCCAACCAGTAAGCCTGAGACCCCCCAGCCACTGGCTGAGACTCCCTACACCCAGCGTGCCCCACAGCCCCTCAGCACGGACAGAGGACCTTGTCCCCCAGCTCCAGAGGCCTCCCGCTGCCCCATAGGGTTGGGGGAGCCCACCTCAGCTAGGGAGGTCAGCGCCCAAGGGGAGCCTCTGCCTGCTCCAGCATCAGAGCCCAGTCCCTCCTGTGGGGCCCTGCAGTCTGCTATCAGTCAGCCAGCACCCCTGATGCCCACCACAGTGGGGGCCATCAGTTTGGCTGCCCCCCAGCTCCCCAGCCCCCCTGTGGGGCCCGCTGCTCCCCCACCACCACCCTCAGCTCTGGAGTCGGATGGGGAAGGGCCACCCCCTAGGGTGGGCTTTGTGGACAGTACTATAAAGAGCCTGGACGAGAAACTTCGGACCCTGCTCTACCAGGAGCATGTCCCCACCTCCTCGGCCTCTGCTGGGACCCCCATGGAAGCTGGTGACAGAGACCTCATCCTGGAGCCCCTGAAAGGAGATCTGCCTTCAGCTCCTAGTGACATGGTCCCAGGGCTTACCCGGCTGCCCCAGTCATCGGTGAGTAGCCCTCATGGTGACCCACCATGCATAAGAGACCTCTCTCTGGGGTCTTACGGAGGAGCAGGTGACACAGATCAAATGTCTGCATGGAGGGACAAGGATGCCTCTGGCCATGAGAGGGAAAACAGATTTGCCGAGATATTGACAAGCCAGATTCACAATTCTTCCCTTTTTTGTGTTTCGACTTCTAGTTGGAGAAGTCAGAAACAGCCCCTGCAGGATGGCCACCTGCAGATCAGGAGCAGGAGGGCGTGTCGTCACCAATGACAGGTAACAGGCTCAAGGACATGTCCTACCCTGCAGTCTCGAAGTGCCACCAGCCTTCCTGGACTCAGACTTCCTGCATCTGCACCCTTACCCTTCATGCTTTATGGGATTAAATGATTCTTTCTGGATTAAAGGCTCTAGCATAGAGGGAGGGGACCTAGACACTGCTTAGCCTGCCATGCCTGTTTGAGAAGGAATCACTGTCACACTCCAAGGAGAGAAAATCTTGTCGTGGAAACAGATGAAGGCCGCAACGGAGGAGAGGGTACTGGGATGTTGTAGGGGGCATGTGACAGGCCCCTGGGCTCCCTGATGCCTAAGTGCAGTGGCTTAGTCCCTAGCCCCCGAGCTTCTTCAGCAAGGTTACAAGATGCCGGATATCATGGGTGGAGTTGATTCTGCAACTCCTGGAAGCTGCAGAGACAAGATGGTCCCAGATCTGCTGGATTCCTCTTTGGCCCCAGCTGCTGTGGGCTCTTTTGCTTTGGTTCTCATTTCATCACTCAGACCTCTGAATCTCCAGCATACGGAGTTCTCCACCTACTAAGGTGCAAGATTGCTTCTCAGCCTGGAATTTCTTGGGGGGAGTGGCATGATAAGAATGGTGGCAGCTGATAAAATATTGGGAATGGGAATCCTAGTGTGTGTCTGCAGCATGTGGCCCCCGGAGGTCCAGGCTGCATCGGCAGAGCAGAGGGAGCTGTCCAGCTCCATCTGGGGGGGAAGGGGCAGGTGGGGGGCATGGGTGGCTGTGTTTGTTTCTGGACACCACACTTTAAGAGAGGTCAGGGCAGCAGGCACCGGAGTCTGAATCTGTGCACTTGCGGAGCTGGCAGTGTTTAGCCTGGAGAAGAGGAGGGACGGGGCAGAAGCGGGAGAGACCTGAGCCCTGCCACTCAACTCCCCTGTCACTCCATCTGGTGTTGGCCTCATGCCTTAAGAGGTATCCCAGGGCCCCTTTAACAGAGTGAAAGCTTCCATAGCTTGCAAGTGATATAATTTGCACTCCAAAATCTACATTCTTCCCAGAGTGCAGAACTCAGGGTGGAGCGGAAGGCAGAGGTTGGGGGCTGGGGGTGTGGAGAGCCTTCAAAATGACACTAGATCTAGATTGGAACAGGTGAACTTTTCTGGAAGTCAAAGCTACTCAGAAAGAGGAGATGCAGCTGGTAGTGAGCTCCTCATCCCTCAAGGTGGGCAAAGATGGGTTGCGTGTTGCCAACCCATAGGGATGTGCGGAGGAGAGCCAAGCATTGTGGTCTCCCCAGGAATCTGACATTCGTATGTGGGGTATGCAAAGCAGACTCGTGTACATACTTGGGCACACGTGTATGCACGTGGGTGGTAGCTTTCTAGCCCCTCCTGGAGGCTCCATTGGCTCCCACTACCTCCTTGTGCAGCTTCAGTTCCAGCTTGCCCATGAGTTTCTTTTGCCATGTGGACGTCTCGCCTCAGTGGCATCCCCATACCTCAGCTGTCTGGGCTTCTTTCGTGAGCTCTTCATGGCAACCCCAGGGAAGCTGGCCAGGATTGTGCTGTCCCCACTCTAGATGGAGCTCCCTGGGGCAGCTGCAAGGCAGTGGGTGCTCCCTACTGCCAGGGCTGGAACTTGTCTATTGATGTGTTGGTGTGCTGTGTTCAAGGAAGCTGGGGAAACAGGGTGCCGACCATCAGGTGTGGAAGGACCTGAAGTGCGAGGGTGCTCTGGCTGGTTGGCGCCTCTTCCCTTCTTCCAGATTTGTAGGTGTGTTCCATGAAGTAATGTGCACCAGATGCCCTGGTGTCCCTAAGAATGCCAGCTCCCTCTCCTTGGCCAGCCAGCAGCACTCCAAAGGGATTTAGCATGGGTCTCCTGGTTAGGAGCCATCCATCTCTTCCTCTTCCCCCAACCCCAGTAACGTTGTCCATGTTCCTGCAGCAGAATCATCTTCCAGCAACACTCTGGGTTGTGACAGTGACGGAGGGCAGGTGGCCTCAGATTCACCCGCATTGCCCTGTGCTCCCCAGGTAAGGGCATCTTTTTCTTCAGGACACATTGCTGACTAGCAGACTTTGCTCTTGACCAGTATTCTCATGGAATACCTGTTTCCACAGGCTGCCCCTGATTCTGTGAGCCCTGCACACTTGAAGCCCACAGACCAGAAGAACGGGATCCCTGTGATAGAATCCATGAAGAGGTACCCGGGGACATTCACAGATAGTAGCCAGCCCAGCCACTCCCCAATGCATGGCGCTTGGGCCTCAGGATCCCCTCGGAAGCGGCCAGGGCAGCAGGATGGCAGCTCACCAGCCAAAACCGTGGGCCGCTTCTCAGTGGTTAGCACACAGGACGAGTGGACCCTGGCCTCCCCCCACAGTCTGAGGTATTCCGCCCCACCTGATGTCTACCTGGATGAGGTTCCCTCCAGCCCGGACATGAAGCTGGCTGTGCGGCGGGTACAGACGGCCTCCCCCATTGAGGCTGGCATGGGTGAGCCTGTATCCAGTGACTCTGGGGATGAGTGCCCACGGAGGCGGCCTCCAGTGCAGAAGCAGTCCTCCCTACCCAGTGGCGGCAGTGTGGCCAGTGACATTGTGAAGAAGGCCACTGCCTTCCTGCACAGGTCCTCGAGGGCTGGCTCACTGGGCCCTGAGACACCCAGCAGGGCAGGTGTGAAGGTCCCCACCATCAGCGTTACTTCCTTCCACTCCCAGTCATCCTACATCAGCAGCGACAATGACTCAGAGTTTGAGGATGCCGACATAAAGAAGGAGCTGCGCACTTTGCGAGAGAAGTACGTTAGGAACCCGGGGGCCCCTCTCCTGGCCTGTCTGGGTCCTGCAAACTGTTGGATGGAGTTGAGGTCCTGGGCAAGCAGCACCCACTTGCATATGGGTCAGGCTGACAGCACAGTGATGATGCCTCTTAGACCCATCGCTGTGGCCATAAGGGGAGAGTCTCCCAACCAGGTTATCCTTCACACAGGACTGGCTCCACCCAGTCACCTGCCTGGTTCCTGGCATCTCTGTAGGACCACAGCTTCCCTACCCTTCCTTCACTACCTGGCTTCTTCGTCTCTCATCCTCAGGGAAGACATCTTAGCATGTCATGGACAAGTTTATCCTTATCCCACCTCTTTCCTTATCCCACCTCTCTTTCCCTGTTTCTCTTTGCCTCTGTCTCTCCCTGTCTCTCTTTGTCTGTCTGTCTGTCTGTCTGTCTCTCTCTCTTTCTCTCTCTCTCCAGCAAATATTCTTTCTGCTTCTCTGTGGTCAGGGGTCACTGCTGCCCTGAGATACCCTTTGGGACTGATGACAGACCTGACAGGGTAGCTCCTAGGGTATGGCTGGTGGACCCCACCAGTGGCTAAAAAGTACTTGCTAAGTACTGTCTGATGGGCTCAGAAATCTCAGGCACGTGCAGAGGGAGCCATGTCTGCAGGACCTGGTGCACAGAGGGCACCAGGAGATATTAAGGATGCCCTTGAGTGTCCACAGGAGTCATGTGAGGAGTGAGCTGTAGCCAGGGTCAGCAGAAGGCGAGGGCTGGAAGAGCTGCTGGCCCTGGGGGTGGTCAGGAAAGCAGCCCCAGTGGCTACACCACCAGGCTGTATCCAGCAAGCCTGCATTGAGGCAAGAGGATGGAGGGACCCAAGATGGGGACTCCTGAACTCAGTCTCTCTGGGATTGTCCCTTGGGGAGCCAGTGGTCAGAGTGCAAAGGAGAGTTGGGGTACAGCAAGGCCACAGTCTGGGTGCCACCCCTGCAAGGAAGCCTTGGTGAAGGGAAGAGTTTGGGTGGCAGAACATCAGGATATAAAACTGGTGGAAGCTCAGAAGAGAGCCTGTACCCTGAGTGAGAGGAGAACTCGGTGGGATGAGGTAGAAATGAAGGGCAAAGCCTAGGGATGGAGTAGGTTGAGAGGTAAGGCATAGCCTAGAGATGGGGTAGAAGCCAGAGATGAGGTGAAGCCTAGAGACAGGGCAGGGCCCAGAGTGGGTTAGAGCGTTGAGCTGGAGCAGAACCTAGAGTTGGTTCAGGGCAAGAAGATGGGAGAGGGTCCTTGAAGAACCTCAAGATAAGGGATTTATGGAGCCCTAGAAAGCGGGAAGTAGTCCCTGGTAGGGCCAAGGAGCACAGTGGAAAGGGATGTTCTTTTTGAAGGGGGTGGGGAAGCGTTCGAACCTCAGTGTAGAATTGAGGGGACTGGGTGGCATCTGATAGGAAGTAGCCAATGGTTCTAAGCTTTTCTTGCATCAGAACCCCCTGGGCACCTTGTTAGTACTCATTGGTATCTCTAAAGGCTCCAGGATCTCTGGGCCTTGCTCAGAGTGGCCCTGAATGCAGGGACAGTCCCAGCTTGGGAGTCACACTGCAGTCTGGGGCTGAAGCAGCCAGGCTTTGTGACTGCAGGCCTCAAGCCTTGGCACAGAACTCTGTCCTGAAGTCCTGCCTGAGAGGCCTCTCCACTGACCCAGCAATCCTGACAGCTGCCAGCCTTCCTCCAGAAGTAGTTGTAAGGGGAAAGCCACTCCATATTTTGTTACTTTTATTTATTGATTTTTTTTGGCGATGCTGTGATTAGAACTCAGCGCCTCACACTTGCTAGGCAGGCGCTCTGCTGTTTGAACCTACTCTGCCAGCCCTATTTATTGATTTTTTTTAATAGCTAAAGAAAGTCTTTGTAAAACAAAGTCGGCAGGAGGTAAGTTAGAACTTGCTTTCTTATTTGTAACTGTGAAAAACACCCATTTTACCATCGTAAAAAGTGGAGGAGATGGACGGAAGGCGGGGTGCAGAGGGGCAACCCTTATTGGAGCAGCCATGGCCTCACTGCAGCTGGTGTCAGCCTCTGGAAGCTCATTGTGAGGTGCAGGAGGATGGTGAGCAAGGTGGCCAAGGGCACAGCCAGCAAGTCCCCAGGGAGGCACAGCAGGGGACACTGCCTTCTTCCTGCATCTCAGCCATGACCAAAACCCAGTAGGGTGGTGTCCAGCTGGGAGCCCAGACCAGCAGCAGCGCCGTGCTTCCTTTGAGCTCCCTTTCCTCCTCACTTGCTTTACTGGCATGGAGCTATTACCTCACATTGTCCTGGAAGAAAGGCAACCTTTTTGTTTCCTGCTCCACTCTGATTCTTTGTTCATCTGTGCTAGCGTGCAGGACTTTTTTTTTTCCTTTTTTGGTGGTACTGGGATTTGAACTCATAGCCTCACACTTGCCAGGCAGGCGCGCTCTGACAATCAAGCCACTCCACTAGCTGTGCAGGCCTTTAATTGCAAATGTAAGTGTATGTGCAGTCGCCCATGTATCCCTGGCCACAAGTCCAGGATTCTGGATATTTGAAAACTTGAAGCCTCTTGGCTCACTTGTGCTGGGTGTTTTCAGTGCTGGAGTTCCCTCACCTGAGCCTTCCTATAAGGATAACAGTACCTTTTAGAAATCCATGTGGCACAGGCAAGGCTGTCTCTTCCCAATGGCTGGGCCCCTCCTACAGGGGAAGCCTACCCGCCCTGCCTCTTCTTTTTCCCTCAGGCACCTGAAGGAAATCTCAGAGCTGCAGAGTCAGCAGAAGGAGGAGATTGAGGCTCTGTACCGACGACTGGGCAAGCCACTTCCACCCAATGTGGGCTTCTTCCACACGGCGCCCCCAAGTGGCCGCCGGAGAAAAACCAGCAAAAGCAAGCTGAAGCCTGGCAAACTGCTGAACCCCCTGGTGCAACAGCTCAAGGTCGTGGCCTCCAGCACAGGTTGGCCGCTGAGTGGAGGGCTACAGGGGGCTGGGGAACCCTGAGGGAGCCTGGGAAGCAGGCTCTGCATAGGTGCAACACCCCCAGATCTGGAAGAAAATTTGGGGTTTTTCTCTTTCTGCCTCTCCTTTCACTGGAGCTGGGAAGTCATTGCAGGCACAGGGAGGCTCCAAGCCTCTATGCTCAGTGCAGAGTCTCAAGGTCTGTGTGGGAAGGGGCTGCCTGGAGCCAGGTCTCAGCCCCAAGAGAAAAGGGGGAGTGCCTTCCGCCACCCCTGGGCTGCAGGTATGCCCAACAAGCCTGGGGTCACTCTCCTCCTGCTTCTCTCTTTAGGGCACTGCTTAGGACAGGAGGTAGCTGCGTCCTCTGACCCAGTTTCGCAGGCACATGTCAGCTGGCCTGCTCACTGGGTGTCAGGCAGCTGCCTTTGGGGGCAGGGAGAGAATGGGGACATCCTCCAGGCCTGGTAATCTTGGTACCCACTCCCTACGACTGTACTGGCCTGGCTCTAGCCAGCATCCTTGCACGTCAGGGTTCGTTTGAGGCTTCCAGAGCAGCACCACAGGGTATATACTGGCCAAGAACCCTAGCACTCTGGGGTGGAGGCCCCCTGCACCCCAAGCATGCCAAGCAGGAATATTTTGGTACATTAACTATAACCACTCCCTAAGCACACGCTGTCCACAGATTGCATAAATTACACAAATTCAATGCCACAGTGAGAGGTGCACTGTTCTACTTTGAACCCCCGTGTGTCTCCTGTCACTTACTTGCATAGCACAGGTCCAGCATGGCATTGATGGCATTGGGATTAGTAGGGACAAGGTACTTCCTTTGTTCTTTTCCATCACTCCCATCCAGATTGCACATGTGCCTGTTGTCTGCAGGAGACTCAACTTCCCCAAGGTCACCCAGCAAAGAGCAGGGAACACTCAGTCCCCAAACCGACCCCGTCCAGCGGCACCAAATGGTGCCTGTCACCTCTTCTCCCCCCGCCCAGGTCACTTGTCTGACTCCAGCAGAGGCCCTCCCGCTAAGGACCCTGCCCACGCCAGCACGCACCCGTGCGCCAAGGCAGTTCAGACCCAGCAGCCCTGCTCCGTCCGAGCCTCCCTGTCCACAGACATCTGCTCCGGCTTAGCCAGTGACGGAGGCGGAGCTCATGGCCAAGGTGATTTCCAGCTTGCCTGTCTCCGAGCATGTGCCAGCCATGTAGGGCCTCAGTGGTGTCCCAGGAGCACGCCCGAGTACGTAGAGGGGGCCAGAGCTGCAGCCAAGGCTGCTGAGCAGCTTTGTTTAAAAAAAAAAGGAAAAAAATTTTTAAAGATGTAGTCTTTGGATGCAATCACCAGGTCTTGCTGTAAGCGGCTCAGAGGCAGGTGATGGCTTTGCTAGACTGGGCATCCAGAAGTGGCCAGGACCGGAGGGGTCAGCCCAATGACTGGGGAGGGGATGGGGCCTGGCATCTTGCTCTGTTGTGCAGCGCCCGTTCCTAGGCACTGGCTGCCTTTCCCCACCCACTTCCCTGCAGTGGAGCCTGAGGGTGCTAAACACTGGGTCCTTCCAAAGTCCCTGGGACGGCTGGGGGACCAGGGCTCAGCTTCTCAAGCTGGGAGTTTGGCCTTGAGGAGGAAATGCTGGCTTGTCAACGCTGCCATGGATAGCAGCAGCTGCTCGATAAGGCGCTCTCCTGTCCTCACCATCTCTGTCCAGAGAAATCATGGTGACTGATGCAGGTGCCCCGCCCCACCCACCCACCCACCCACTCCTCTCCTCTGGGCCGCTTCTCTTCTGCTCCTACCGCTGTCTCCTCCCATTCCATGGTCAGTGGCTTTGGTGCTCGGGCTGGGCTAGATGGAGCCGTGGATGTTAAGTTACGAGGCTGGTGTGGCTGTTGGTGTGGAGGAGGAATCGAAGCAACCTGTACTTGATAAGTGTTCTCTGTTTTCTTCCCTTTATATTCATTTGCAGGCTGGACGGTTTACCACCCAACGTCTGAGAGAGGGGCCTATAAGTCTAGTAGCAAGCCTCGTGCTCGATTCCTCAGTGGACCCGTATCTGTGTCCATCTGTCTGTATTTGTTCTTTTGTATTTTCCCACCTCCTGGCCCTTGGTTCTCCCCTCCCCACCCCCTGTCTTTGTAACCTCTCATGCATTTTCATAGGATGCCTCCCCTACCCCTTGAAGTCACCTCCTCCATATGAAAGGTGGACCCCATGAGCCCTCTTGTTGAACGCCACTGTCCACGGTCCCGTCCCCCCTCCCCCGTCCCAGACAGCCGTGTGCATGCTCTTGGCTGCGCCTGGGCACCAAAAGCATGCACAACAGCACGCCTGCCTTACCACACAGCCCCTCCACCCCACACATGCCAGGACATTCTGCATCTCTGCCGTCACCTCATTTATTTTGTTTTTCTTATGTTGGATGTAGATTTTTGTTTTGTTTTGTTCTTTTTCTGTTGCAATCGTGGCCAGTATACATGTCCGCTGTTCCCCAGTTCCAGTGACAACAAAAAGACAACCCCAACCTTATGTTAGAGGCACGGTGTGTTGCACCCATGCCTGGGCTCTGAAGACATGCATGTAGTAGGCCAGTACAGCCCTACTGTCTGGAGGACAGGACCTCTGTGCAGGGGCCAACGCCCAACACCTAGCCCTGGGGCCACTCACTGTCCCACTCCCTGCATGTAGAGATGTGCTCCAGAGGCTGAGGGTGGGGCTCAGTGGCAGAGGGCTTGCTTAGCATGCGAAAGGCCCTGGGTTCCATCCCCAGCACCACAATCCAAAAATATGCCCCAGCTAGGGCTTTCTGAGACCCCCTCCCTCAAAAGAGGAAGATCTGACCCCCCTCGGCAGCCTCTCTTCACCCTTTGTCCACTCCAACTCCCCTGAGCTCTTCCTTTGGAACCTGCCTCCTGCCTGTCCCCTTGCTCTCTTCCACCCAGCTGGAGCATTCTGCTGGTGTGTTTTCCTCCGACCCCATGTGATCTCAGGGATGAAGTCTCTGGCACAGCTCCTCAAATAGCCACCAAATAAAAACCCACTTCCTGCCTCCCTCAGATGCTCTGGGCTCTACACCCAGTGCCAGGAGTGCACACCTGCTTGGGGCTGCCCACCATTGTGCAATTTGTTTTTAACCCTCACGACAATTGGCAGGTGAATCCAAAGCTGTGGAGTTTTTAGGTTTTTGTCTTTTTAACAGGAAAAATAGAGCTTTTTGGCAATTGGATTGAGTTGCTAGTTTGGGGCACATGACTTTTTGCTTGTACAACAAAGATACATTGTGGTTGTGGAGACCCAGAGGACCATGTCTTGGGTAGGTGATCATCGCCATTCCCTGCTCTCTGCACCAGAGACCCATGTGTGCCATCAGTCTCCAGGCAGGACAGGTCATGGGCACAGGCCAGGGACTTGCCAATGGTTTCTCATCCATTTATTAGGCTGCCCTGTTTGAGCCACGGTGGTGACCAGCTAGTGATACATCTGGCTTCTTGCCAGGTGCTGAGTTGAAGCTGGGGAAAGACTGGGTGGACTCCTTCTGTACGTCCCTCACATCTTTCCCACAGCCCAGCCCTAGCCCTGTCTCCCAGCCTCATCGTGGCCTCTGCTTGCCTAATGTCGTTCTTGCTGTCCCTAGTGGGCGTGCAGCTCACACTGGGACGGTTGCCAGGGTTGAAGTCACCTGGGTATCTGCGTGTCTCTCGTCTCCTGAGTAGCTCATGGGACCCATAGTGACTTTCTGTGTGTGGGCTGAGGTGGTTCAAGTGACCATAGCACAGTTGTTGCGCCTCTGAGATCAGCACCGCTTCTCTAACCAAGCTTGTGTTTTTATAGGGTTTTCATTGATTTTACTATGCATTTTTAGCCCAAGTTTTTTTTTTTTTTTTTTTCCCAATAATGAGGCTCCAGGAGGAAGGAACAGACTTGACTGGTTGGCTTCGGGTGTGGCATGTGCCACCTGTCTGGGTCCTCTGTGGATTGCTAGCCCCCTTTAGGCCAGGCCTGGCCGATTGAGTCTTTTCTGAATAGTCATATCATGGCTCCCATACGCTCTCAAGTGACTGGTCAGGCAGCGCCCAGTGGATGCCTGTTCTGGGTACCTCTTGCTGCAAGCATGGATAGGAGGGTGGCAGCTCAGCCACCAGGTTAGCTGTAAGCATCCCCCGCCCTCCCACCACACACACACAATATGGAGGTGTAGCTAGAACGGTCCTTCTGTTCTGTGTGCCCCTGGCCTCTGGGCTGTAAGGATCTGAGCTTCTCATTCAGCTGTTTGTCCTTCTGCTGGTTCCAAGATAAACTACACAGGACCCCCCCACCCCAAGAAGGTGGGGTTTTGAGGTCTGTGAGGATTGTGTATTATGTGTTATGGATTGGACAAGAAGTCAAAGCTCCATGAGCACGAGAGACCTGAGGTGACAGGATTGAGCCGGGTTGGGGGCCAGGAGGAAGGAAGAGCCCTCAGCTTATTCAGGGACAGCATGAGCAGATGGCCAGGAAGACGCTGGAGTGTGTGCACCCAGTCATGCATGGCTGTGAGGTGTGGGGTTCAGGGCGATGCTTCAGGGATGCTTGACAAAGCCTAGTGAAAGTTTCAGTTCAGTGCCTCAGTGTGTGACACCCCCCGCTTCCTGAAAGACAGAAGGCTGGTAGGAAAACAAAACGTGCCTTAAGTTTTGTTGTACAGAAAGATCTGGGCTTCTCCAAAGCTCGGAGGCAAGGTGGATTGTAGCTGGGGAAAGAGAGTGGGCTCGGGCCCTGTCTGGGGTGGCTCCAGTGGTGGAGGGAGCCCCTAAGGAGGTGCAGAGGATAGGTTAAGATGAGACAGCGGATAGGTAGATCCCTAGGTGTATGGAGCCTGTGTCAGACATCCATCTCCAACCTGCACAAGGCCCTGGCAGACCCTATGCTCATGCCCAGGTCCCTCCTGTAGTAGGCCTCATGGCTCCAGTGACCATATATTGTCCTAAAGGATGGTGATCATGGAACCTAGGAGGTCCCAGAACAGAACCAAGATAGTGCTTGGTTGTTTTATTGGTCAGGAGCTGTCGTCACGGCCCACTGACCTACCTCCTTCTGTGCCCTCCCCTCTGTCCAGGTAGGCACGAACACCTTCTGGGCCTTGGCCTGCCCACAGGAGCCATGAAGTCTCATGTTGTATTGTCTTATCATTACCATCCCTCAGCTACATCAGGTCTGATGCAGGGACCCTCTGCAGCACTCCTAACCCTCTCCTACCCTGAATATTATTGCTCCCTGGGTGACAGTGAAAGTCCAGTGAGGCCCCCAACAAAAGACCCTCGGAGCACAGGTTCCACCTCACAATGTCCACCAGGTCCCAACCTCTGCATCCCAAGCTGCCTAGGTCCAGGGCCAGTGTGACTCACCACCAAGGGCTGTCAAAACAGGCCTGTGGGCTCCAGAGTCCCATGGGACCCAAGGCTACACTGCTCAGGGACAAGTAAAAATGGGGCAGAACCAAGGTACATTCATGTCCAAACTGATGTTTTGTGGACAATTCTTGGTTTTTCTCCCAGCTTGAGAATGTTGTTGCTCAGTGAAGAGACAGAACAAAGAGACACCGGGCGGGGGAGGGGGGGGCAGCCAATGCCGCTGTTGGGTAGGGCTGGCCCGTTGGAGGTCATGAGGGGGATGAAGTGGAGCTGCTTGGGCCAGCTGGGAGCGGTGCTAGGCTTGAGCCACCTGGTTCCAGGGGGGGCTGTCCCTACAGGGTCTGCACAAATGAGGCTGCTTCCTCCCACTGTTCCTGTGAACCTCATCAATATTTGAACGCTGAGATATAAAAAGCAAATGTGAGGAATTGCTCCAAGCCTGCCCCAGTTTTTATACCATCTGTCCTACTCAATCACCCTGGGCTTTGAATCTGTCATGCTTAAGGCGTCCTCCTTGCCACCAGCCAAGGGTCCAGATGGTGGTGGGTGCTGGGGCCATGGAAAGGGCTGGCTGTCAACCCAAAAGCAACATCTGGTCTTGACCAAAGCACAAGGCAGGGTGGAGCAGCAGGGCAGGGTGTTCGCCTCACTACAGGGACAGGTGGGTACCCTGGGAGACCAGGATGGGCCTTGGTGAAGCCATCATGCCTCTGGCTGGCTTCATTCACTCCCCCATTGCTGTTCTGGGCAGCAGGAGCCTATGGGGGTCTGTCCTGACACTGTGAGGGGTGGGGGACCAGGCTGTGGGCATGTGAAGGCCGGGCCCAGATCAGAGCAGAGATGATGAGGGAGGTGGATTAGGAACCTTCTAAGCTGAGCGGTAGCTGCAACCCTGAGGTTCTGCATTGAGTGTAGCCAGAGAGCAGTGTGGCCTTGGTATTAAGGAACCAGCATTGAATGGTTTGTCCATAGGTCCAGAGCCTGGTCACCTGGGGCCAGAGTCCAAGAAGGGTGGGAGCTGTCTGCACTGTGGTCTCCTGGGACCTGACCTGAGTTCAGGAAGGCCAGTGGCAGCTGGTCTGTCTGGCATTCTATCTAGTATGACAGTGGCTGAAAAGGAGCCCCAAGTTTACTGGCCACACCAGAAAAGTGCAAGGACTTTTTTTTTTTTTTAAATAAAGCATCTACTACAGCTTGACTGAGGGGATCATGTGTGACTGTATCCCTCTGTCTTAGGGCCATCGTATGGGATTATTGTGCCCTAGATGGAGCTACAGCCCTAGACAAAGCTGAAGGGACATTGGTTCTCTCCTGATGCCCCTGTACTCTGATTCCAGACCAGACTGTGTAGAAAACACAGTCTTTTTGTCTCTGAAAGTGGACCAGAGAGGGCTCTGCTCTGCACACATTTCACCCAGGGTGGATCTGCCTGGATCTCTCCTGCTCACCTCCCTTCCTTCCGTTAGAGCAGTAAAGTCTCCAACAGAACTTCACCTCCTTTTTCCCCACTGCAGCTTTAGAGATCACACAGAACACACTGAAAATAATGAGTCAAGTTTATTTCAGCTGAGTTTCCAGGTCCAATACACACAGCCTGGGCTGAACTTGGGCCAGGGAGCCAGGCCAATGTCTGCCCTCTGTTCCCTGTGGCAGGAAGCCATTCATGAGAAGGAAGGCTAGGGTGGCTAAGGTTTTTCCAGGCCTCTGGATGTTCTGGGTCATGTGGGGAGCATATCCCCGAGGGAGTTAGTGTGTCCTGGCAATGGGGGCTACAGGCTGGAGTACAGACCCTCCCAGTTAGTGTGGCTTTGCTGAGTGACCTTGGGGAAGTCTGTGTTCCTTCTCACCAGTCCAAACTCCCTGGGAGGCCAGCGGATAAGCCAGAATGGTAGCCCTTCCTGGCATTGCTCCTAGGCCAAACTAGGATGTCACATGCAGTGTGTTGCCTTCCTGACTTGTCCCAGACAGTCTCTGGGACAGAGCTGTTTAGTGGTGGTCCAATAAGGAAGCCTTGCCCTGCCCCAGTGGAAACACAGACAATTGCAAAAGAGGCAGCAGCATCTCCCAAAAATCAGGGTTGGCCCCAGGATAGCCCCTCTTACTTCCCCATTTGATGCCCCTGCCTGGCCTTATCCAAGGCAGCCATCTGGGATCCAGAATTGGCCTCAAGCCTGCAAAACAATGTATCTTTTTGCACTGAGAAAACCTCTGGTGGCCTTGGTAGCCAGCCAACCCAGTCATGCCCAGCTCCATTCAGGGCCCCCAAGGCTGACTTTTTCTTGGTTTTTCATGCCTCAACCAGTGGGGTTCCCAAAAGCCTGCCTTTTAAAAGCCAAGTGGTGTGCTTTTGCTTTTTTTTTTTTTTTTTCCCCCTTGCTTTTCTTTTTTCTTTTTCTGGAATATGCTTCTAGAGACAGACACTTCTCCCTGAAGTTTGGGGGCTTGCCCTAGCACCTCCGCCTCGTCAGCGAAGCCGTGAGAGCCTGCACGCTAACTGGGCGTCCTGCCCCGTTCCCCAGGCTGGGCCGGCCTTCCTCTCCGATCTGCTGCCTGTGTCTGTTCCTCCCTGCACACTGATGATTCTGCTTAAGTGTGGTAGTGTGACCGGTGTGTGCTGTTCTGCCTAACCCTGTGGTCTTGTGTCGTTTGTTTTTTCCCTTACAGGGTCAGCCCTGAAGCGTCTCTGCCTAGGCAAAGAACACAGCAGTAGTAATTATCTGGGTTTTTTACCCCCTTTGCCCCTTCTCATCGCATGGGCTTTATCGTGGCTAGTGCACACCAGGGTCTCCCGTGGCCGGGCGGCGTGGCCTGCTTTGTGCCTGCCCGGCCGGGTTCTGCTTTGCTTCTGCCTGGAGGGATAGCTTCCCTCGGTTCCCCTTTGTGTCTCCATGGCTCCTAGAGTTTGTGCAGTCTTGCCAGTTCACATCTGACAGGCTTGTCCTTCTCCGGAACATCCACAAATTACCATTTGTTAATTGGCTCCTTTTCCAAAACCATAGGCATCAGTATTTCCCTGAAGTGCTAAAGCTGAGTGCTTCCCCTGAGGAGAGATACCAAGACCGAATGGGTATTAGTCTACCTGGGCCACTCACACCTCTCTCTCTCTCTCTCTCTCTCTCTCTCTCTCTCTCTCTCTCTCTCTCCCGCTCTCCCCCTCGCTCTCTCCCCCTCTCATCTCTTTCTCTCCTGGTTTTCTTTTTTAAATATATAATTTCCTTTTATCTTTTCTGGCTAAAAATCACATGTAGAAGTAGTTCTGTGTGTGTAAAATCTCTTCACTAATTTGTAATTGTTTGTGTCTGTGCTCTGTCATCGCTAGCCACTAAAGTTCACTACATTTTGGAACAGCTTGTTTGAAGAGATGGTCTTTAGTTGTTTGTTTTTCTTTCTTTCTTTCTTTCTTTCTTTTTTCAAGTGCAGAACAACTTTAAATTGGCCTACTCAAAATTGCTAGCCAGAAATTATATGACTAGGAGAGAAAAGAGAAGAGACACAATTAAAAAAAAAAAACAAAACAAAAAAGTCCTATGCTGGTCATTTAAAAAAAAACAAAAAAATAAAACTTTCAATGAAGCAGCCAAGCATTCTGGTCATCAGAGCAGCCCCCAGCGCCCCCTGCCTCGCAGCACACCCCAGCGGGGGCTTATAGCAAGTGGAGCCCACATCTAGGAGCTCAAAGTATTTGCACCTTTTATTAATACCTTCCCCAAATGTTTGGGTAAGGAAACAGGCCATTTCTTAGCCTTGATTTCCAACTACCAAGCCATTAAAATTCATAGGGATGCAAATAATGTAGCCTGTCCAGGGGGTGCTGGAAGGCTGGCGGCAGCTGCCACAGGCTGAGTGCTCTGTAAATTTTCCCAGACTCCTCTGCATCCTCACCTAACACTGAGGATGCAGAGGCCAAAGAAATCTGGCCCTTGTCCCTGGGACACCAACGCTCATGTGTGGCCAGCTATGCCAAGCGTTTCCCACACTCTCACACATGAGTCTGGTGGCACAGGCAGCAGTGGACACAGAGTGGACTTAACAAAGGTTGGCCTGTCACAGGGTCCTGTCCTCTGGCCTGGCTTATGAGATGGGTGACCAGCCACCTGGCAACAACCCAGTCACTGCCAGCCCATGCATTGATTGCTCTACCATGTCTAAAAGTGGGCAGCGAGGCCCCTTGATCCAGACCGCCTCTTGAAGCAAGGTGTTGCCTGGCCCAAGTGAGGCCATTGTCTCGGCCATCACATAAGAGTGACTGTAGTCAGCTCACAAGTGGTGCTCGGCGAGTGTGTGGCGTCACCAATCCTGGCCTATGTGACTCCCCAGGGTCCTCCACCAGCAGCCTGGCCCCAGGCCCCGAGCCGGGTTCCCAGCCCACCCTGCATATCCAGGCGCAGGTGAACAACAGCAACAACAAGAAAGGCACCTTCACGGATGACCTGCACAAGCTGGTGGACGAGTGGACAATCAAGACAGTGGGTGCGGCACAGCTGAAGCCAACGCTCAACCAGCTGAAGCAGACACAGAAGCTGCACGACATGGAGGCCCCTGGAGAGGCACGGGCTGTGAGTATGGGAAGGGCACGGCTGTCCCAGGGAGGGGACGGTGGGAATGGTAGTGATGGAGGAGTTGCTACCATCCTGCATACTGGGTAGTCTTCGTGCTAAGCTTACACTTTGCTTTCACGATCTGAGCTCATAGTCACCATAGCCCCACGAATAAGGCCTTCCTCCTTTTCAGATTAGGGGCATGTGACTTGCCTGGGATCCCATAGCCAGAGGTGGTATAGCAGCAACCATGACCTAGACAAGGCAGCCTCATCTCTGTAGACAGACCTACCTCCACCCGCACTCCATCCATCCCCTGGCTGGAGAAATATGCATGTCATCTCTGAGTGACAGCCAGCATCAGGCTTCAGTTCACATGCGCCCAGGGCCATCGTGGGGCAGGAGTGGCCCTCAGAGGTCTTGGAATATAATTGCATTTTGTGTCCGGACTGGTTGGAGGAGGTAGTGGAAGGTTGGTGTTATTTTTACCTTAAAGGTTTCAGCTGAAGCCATCTGGCTACAGTATTTTGTGGTTGTTTTGAGTGTGGGAAACTTCACGCTATGAATGTGGCTTTGAAAAGTTTGAAACACACAGAAGAGTTGAAAGTCGGTCATTAACACTGTATGCCATCACCTGCACCATAGGTGACATTCGCAGTGTTCATCACACATGTCCATCCCATGAGGGGAAAGTTTGCTTAGGAATCTAGTTTCTTCTACAGTTTTAACACCAGTTGGATTTTCTATTTCTTCTTGACAGTCTTGTCAAATTCTGCTTTCCTAACAATTACTACCCCTCCACTAAATCTATCAGAATTTTCAAATCAATTTTCCTAAAATTATCCATAATACCTCGTTTTTACAATTTGCAGCGTTTACAATGACGTCCTGTTTTTCATTCCCTGTGGCTGGAAGGTGACAGTGATTTCTGCCATCTCTCTCTCTCTCTCTCTCTCTTTCTTTCTCTCTTCCTCCCTCCTTCTCTCTTTTCTATCTCCCTTTCCTTTCTCCCTCCCTTCCTCTTTTATCTCCTTAAGGATTTTTAAATTTGATTGGCCTTTTCAAAGAATTATTTTGTCTTTGATGATGTTCTTTATACTTCACTAACTTTTTTCTTTCTGTCTTTGGCCTAATTTTGTTCTAGAATGTTTCTTGGGCCAAAGGTATGGCTCAGTGGTAGCAGGCTTGCCTAGCATTTGTGAGGACCTAGATTCTAACCCCAGCACCACACACACAGAAGGAGAAGGAGAAAAAGAAAGAAAAAGAAAAAAGAGTTTCTTAGGATGTGTAGTTTACTGATTTCTAGCCTTTCTTTTATAATGTAGCACACAAGGCTATAAAATTCCCTCTGGAGGTTTTAGCTCCAAGCCAAAAGCATTCATCTCAAAATAAGTTCCACTGTGATTTGAAGGACAACTGTTAATTGGCTAGCCACCTTTTTATAAGTGACTTTTTTAGTTTAGCCACACTATGATAGGTGTTTTCCACTCTTTGAAATCTTCTGAGACTTTCTACCTTTCTCATTGTTCCTTGGATATCTGTTTCTTTCCCTCTCTGTGTCCACACCCACAGGCTTCTGACTCCTTCAATCTATTTTTCCTGGAATCCCATCATTTCAAGAACAAAGTGGACCATCTGGAATGTGGCCCCAGGGCCCTGTGGGGTCTGCCTCCTGAGCCCAGCAAGTTCAGCCTTGTGTGGCTCTAGCCACATCAGCTAATCCTGCTGTTTAAACATTCCTGATTCTCACTACATTTTTAAGATCGTGTGTATGTGTGTACATAATACATACATATATATATATATATATATATATATATGACATGCCATATTCACTATTTTTCACTACTAAAAGTTTTCGGTGACAGTAAGTACACTCACATTGCTGTGCGATGTCACCTTCCAGCCACAGAACTTTTCCTCATCCCAAACAACAATTCGGTCCCCATTGAACACCAGCCCCTCCCCCCAGCCCTTGTTGCCCACCATTCTACCCTGTCTTTTGGTGAGTTTGACTAGGCTAGGAACCTCATATGAGTGGAGTCATGTGGCACATGCTCTTTTGTGGCTTGCTCATTTCACTTATCTGGTTTACAAGATACATCCACATTATTCTATATATCAGAAGTTTCTTCTTTTTCTCCTGAATTTTTTTTATTTTGGTAAAGTTCACATGACATGAAATTTGCCACCTGAAACATTTTTAAGTGTACATTTCAGTGTCATTAAATGCATGCAGAATATGGTGCAACCATCACCACTTTATATTTCCAGAGTTCTGTGGCCATTAAACAGTACCTCATTGTCCCTGTTCCCAGGCACTGGAAGTCACCATTCTACTTTTGGTCTGTATGGATTTCGAGCAGTGGTTGCCTTTGTGACTGACTTATTTTACTTAGCTTGATGTTCTCAGAGTTCGTCCACGTCATACCATATCTGAATTCCTTCCCTTTTAAGGCTGAATAATACTATATTGTGTGGACAGAACAGGTCTTCTTTATCTCTTCATCATTTTATTTGTGGTACTGGTGTTTGAACTCAGAGTCTTGCCTTTGCTAAGCAGGCACTTTACCTTACACCATACCCCGAGCTCTGTTTAGTTGTTTTTTAGATGGGGTCTTATGCTAGCCTCCAGCCGTGATCCGCCCATTTCTATTTCTCAAATAGGTGAGATTATAGCTGTGTATCACTACACACCCAACTTGTTTTTTGAGATAGGATCTCACTAACTTTTTTTGGCCTGGAATGGCCTTGAGTCATGACCTTCCTATCTCTGACCCCTGAGTAGCTGGGATAATAGGCATGTACCATCACACCACGCCTCCATTCACCATTCATCCATTGATAGGCACTTCTGTTGCTTCTACATTTGGGCTATTCTGAATCAAGCTGTGATGAGTACACACCCCTTCGAGTTCCTGCTTCCGATTCTCTTAAGTGTGTATTCAGAAGTGGAATGGCTGGATCATATGGTAATTCTGTTTCTTATTTAAAACAATTTTTTTTTTGGTGGCACTGGGGTCTGAATTCAGGGCCTCACACTTGAGGTAGGCGCTCTTAATGCTTGAGCCACTCCACCATCTTCTGTTTCTTATTTTTTGAGGACCCTCCATGCTGTTTCAAGGAGTTGTACTATTTTTACATTCCCACCTACAGTACCCAAGGGTTCAGTTTTCTCATATTCTCACCAATACTAGCTATTTTGGGGGTTTTTGGTAGTGACCTTTCTGTGAGGTATGAGGTGGGATCTCATGGTTTGGGTTTGCGTTTCCTAAATAATTAGTAATGTTGAGCATATTTTCATGTGCTTATTTGGCCATTTGCATCTCTTCTTAGGAGAAATGTCTGTTTGAGTTCTCTGTCCATTTTTGAATCAGATTTTTTGTTATTGAGTTTTAGGGATTTGCTGTATATTATAGATATTAATTCCTTGCAAGATAAATGATTTTCAAATATTTCTCCCATTCTATCAGGTGTCTTTTTACCCTATTGATAGTGTCTTTTTTAATGTGTACAGGTTTTGAAAACTTGTCTTTTTTCTTTTGTTGCCTGTGCCTTTGGTGGCATACCAAAGAAATCAATACTGAGTCTAATGCCATGAAGTTTTCCCTCTATGTTTTCTTCTAAGAGTTTTATAGTTTCAGTTTTTACATTTAGATCTTTAGTCCACTTTGAATTCTTGGATGCAGTATTAGGCAAAGGACCAGCTTCATCCTTTTACATGTGGATATCCAGTTTTGCCAGCATTATTTTTTAAAAAAAAAAAAAATTTTCCTTTCCTCACTGAGTGGGCTTGTGACCCTTGTCAGGAATCATTTGAGGACTGGGGATATGGCTCAGTGGTAGAGTGGCCTAGCATGCACAAGGCCTGGCTCACTCCTCAGCATTGGACAGAGAAAAGATCATTTGACTGTAGATTTAAGAGTTTATATTTCTGGGCTGTCTGCTCTATTCCACTGGTCCTTCTATCTGTCTTTGTGCCAGTTTCACACTATCTTGATAACTGTACCTTTGTAGTAAATTGTGAGATCAGGAAGTGTGAGCACTCCAGCTGTTTTCTTTTTCTTTTTTTTTCCCTTTTTCTTTTATTATTCATATGTGCATACAAGACTTGGTTCATTTCTCCCCCCTGCCCCCACCCCCTCCCTTATCACCCACTCCGCCCCCTCCCTCTCCCCTCCACCCCCTCAATACCCAGCAGAAACTATTTTGCCCTTATTTCTAATTTTGTTGTAGAGAGAGTATAAGCTATAATAGGAAGGAACAAGGGTTTTTGCTGGTTGAGATAAGGATAGCTATACAGGGCATTGACTCACATTGATTTCCTGTGCTTGGGTGTTACCTTCTAGGTTAATTCTTCTTGATCTAACCTTTTCTCTAGTTCCTGGTCCCCTTTTCCTATTGGCCTCAGTTGCTTTAAGGTATCTGCTTTAGTTTCTCTGCGTTAAGGGCAACAAATGCTAGCTAGTTTTTTAGGTGTCTTACCTATCCTCACCCCTCCCTTGTGTGCTCTCGCTTTTATCATGTGCTCATAGTCCAATCCCCTTGTTGTGTTTGCCCTTGATCTAATGTCCACATATGAGGGAGAACATACGATTTTTGGTCTTTTGGGCCAGGCTAACCTCACTCAGAATGATGTTCTCCAATTCCATCCATTTACCAGCGAATGATAACATTTCGTTCTTCTTCATGGCTGCATAGAATTCCATTGTGTATAGATACCACATTTTCTTAATCCATTCGTCAGTGCTGGGGCATCTTGGCTGTTTCCATAACTTGGCTATTGTGAATAGTGCCGCAATAAACATGGCTGTGCAGGTGCCTCTGGAGTAACAGTCTTTTGGGTATATCCCCAAGAGTGGTATTGCTGGATCAAATGGTAGATCGATGTCTAGCTTTTTAAGTAGCCTCCAAATTTTTTTCCAGAGTGGTTGTACTAGTTTACATTCCCACCAACAGTGTAAGAGGGTTCCTTTTTCCCCGCATCCTCGCCAACACCTGTTGTTGGTGGTGTTGCT